TAAACCTTTGATCTAAATTAACCATAGCAGAAGAAAATTAAAGTAAGACTATTCAGTGATTATCTGACACAATAACAGGATTAAGAAATTATAGGAAAAAACCTGAGATTTAGGATATGCAAACACTGTGCCATTAAAAAAAAAAAAAAAAAAAAAAAAAAAAAAAAAAAAAGGATGTTTTTTTCCAATTGCCTTCAGAAGGTTTGCACGTCTGCCAGGTGGTTTGCATCTGATAGTCAAATACCGCTGCTGAGAACCATCAATTCCTTCAAGGACTTGACACTGCATCCAATTTGTATCGCAAGTGACTGTGAAAGGAGGTGACTGCAGCTATTATTTTGCTAGATTTAGTCAAAACATCCCCAGAAGAGGCAGGAGGGCATGCTGGGAATTGTTTGATGAGCCTGCTGCGAGAATAATTACATGGCCAGCAGTTTGTTCACTTCATCTTTCTGTAGCACTTTCTTAGCAGTTTTTGTGTGGTTTGAGCACCCGGCTTTTTGAATTAAAAAATCTTTACTGCCATTGTCTCTTTAGCTAATTCCCGGATTATGCAGTCTCAGATGTGCATCCCAGGGCTGCTTCTGTGTTACATGAGGTATTAGAAAAATTAAAATACTTTCTTCGATATTCCCACTCTTACTCGAGATGAAATTTTCTGCACCGTAGCTGTGATTACATTACAAAGAGTTGCCTCTTCTGATTGCGATGCTTACATAGACCTTAGGCCTGTTTGTCTTTTAATCCTGCTTCATTTAGTAGGATGAACGTCAAAATTTGCAACTTCAATCCTCCCCCCCTTTTTTTTTGTTAAAATTGCACATCTGAACTTTTTTTTTTTTTTTTAAATGTAACAAGTTACAGCTTAAAGTTTTCAGAAGCAACTTAGGTACCAGGGAACTAAAGATCTGTTAGAATTTTAATTTGACTCAGCAGCTTATGAAAAAATAAATGCGTATGAGCCCCTGGAAAACAGTACGTGAAAGTATTACCAAAATATTAATTCCAAGTCGACAGGAAATTCAAAAGCTATGAAAGGAATCACATTAAAAACTAGAAACTGTGCTTATTCAGCTGACTACAAGGGGTCCATGATAGCTGTAGGTGCCTTTTATAAGGCAGGTAAGGCAATTAAAAAAAAGGTGGTACCAGCAAACCATCCTGCAGAGAGCAGCGTGAATGGTCCTCTCTAGAGGAGTTGTCTTCTCAGCTGCTGTTCCTGATGAAACAGACCAGCCTGAATATATCCTAAACCAGTCCTAGTCTCTGGTTTTCTCTGGTGGGTGTAGCAGATGTGCTTTGCAGCTCTCCAGTATGAACACATATACGCACTGCCGTGTGTCTCTTGCTTTAAATACATTCAGATCAATAGAAGGGAAGGAGGAGAAAAGGAAGTAAAGGAGTCGAAAATTACCATATCAGAGCCCTTTGGTGCTGGATATATGGATAAAAATATATTGCTTGTGACTCTAGTGAAATGAGAATCTGCTATAAGAGAGTTTACTACAATCTAGCTTGTTTGTGCACTTAGGGGTTTCAGAATAACTTTATAGGAAAGGAGCTGAAAAAAATTGGATCATTGGCTAAAGCTTAAAAAAACCCCACCTTGTTTCCTTGCTATTAGCTTGTTTGTGCACTTAGGGGTTTCAGAACAACTTTATAGGAAAGGAGCTGAAAAAAACTGGATCATTGGCTAAAGCTTAAAAAAGCCCACCTTGTTTCCTTGCTAGGGAAAGAATATTAGTATTCTCACAAAGAAGGTTTTACAGAAACAAGCAGCATACTTTTAAAGAAAAACTCCCTTTGATGTGAATCCTGCACAAAGCACAAAAAAAAATATAAAAGGGCCTGTGGGATGCTCTTTCCTTCTGTGTGTGCTTCCCAATTCTTCTCCTTGCTAATGGGCCACGTGGGATGTGTGTTCTTTCCAGTGGCTGAACTAGGGCATTTCAGGAGGACAGCAGGGATACAAAGATTTCCTGGAGGACGTGCCAGTGCTGTAACCAGTTTCTCAAAGGGGGAAATATTTCTTTTTTCCATCTTTTCTGTTTCTGCACCGTATCTGCTTCACCTTGCCTCGTACATGTGCACAGCCAAAGTGTGACTTTACTTATCTGCCAGAATCAGCCCCAGCAACCTGCTCCTGACAGAAATTAGTACTAGAGAAAAATCCCAAGAAGTTACCTTACAGGCAATGAAGGAACAACAGGAATATACAGCGAAAGTTTCTTTCCTTTGTTCCATTCGTTAGAAATTGGGCTTAGCTCTGAAGCATGACAATTTACATCCCTTTTAAGTGTTTAGTAAATTAAGGTAATCCATATCGCTTTGGATAGTGAACATGTGTCAGAGGTCAATGATGTGCTTTGTGTTCCTCATAAGATTATGTTCTCTTACATTTTTAACTCCTGATCTTTTGAGATCCCTTTTAATTCTCATTAAATAGCCAATTTGGCTCAGGACTACAGTATTTCTTTGTTCCATTCATTAGAAATTGGGCTTAGCTCTGAAGCATGACAATTTACATCCCTTTTAAGTGTTTAGTAAATTAAGGTAATCCATATCGCTTTGGATAGTGAACATGTGTCAGAGGTCAATGATGTGCTTTGTGTTCCTCATAAGATTATGTTCTCTTACATTTTTAACTCCTGATCTTTTGAGATCCCTTTTAGTTCTCATTAAATAGCCAATTTGGCTCAGGACTACAGTATTTAAAACTAAATTTAATTATCATTTTATCTAACTTCTTTTACATTGAAGCAAGGCTCACTGATCTCTAATTTACAGTGATTTTAATTAAACAAAAAAAACCCCACCGAAAGCAGCACTGATCTCTAATTTACAGTGATTTTAATTTTAAAAAAAAACACCAAAAGCACTCTTACATTTTTAACTCCTGATCTTTTGAGATCCCTTTTAGTTCTCATTAAATAGCCAATTTGGCTCAGGACTACAGTATTTAAAACTAAATTTAATTATCATTTTATCTAACTTCTTTTACATTGAAGCAAGGCTCACTGATCTCTAATTTACAGTGATTTTAATTAAACAAAAAAAACCCCACCGAAAGCAGAACAAAAAGAACCCCTAAAATCCTTTTGTAAATAATAGCTAGCTGTAGCAGGATTGCAAACAAAGAGGGGTTTTTTTTGGGTGAGTTTTTTCCCTTTTTTTGAGGGGGGAGGTTATGAAGCTGGATATTTCATCCTTAACTTTCCTCAGGATTCTATTATTCATCACTGTTCTATTTCCCAGGTTCTTTTAGCGTCTTCTGCTGATACACCACACTAGCTAACTTCACCTCAGTTCTAGTGTTTCAGTTTCAAAGTTATATCTTTTAATATGCTTTGGAACATATTTTTAGGAAGTGGGGAAATATATTTGTCTACAAAAATGTTGAAGTCAACATTACGTATGTACATGACTGCCTGTTGGATTTTCCACTTCATTTTTAAGCTCACAGTTGTGAGTTATGCCCACTCCTCTCACACGCAGTTCAGTACTGTCAATATTGAAGTCAACATTACGTATGTACATGACTGCCTGTTGGATTTTCCACTTCATTTTTAAGCTCACATAGCTGTGAGTTATGCCCATTCCTCTTACACACAGTTCAGTACTGTCAATACTTAAAAATAACAAATGATAAAATTTGTCCTGACAGAAGGAATGTAACAGATATCAACTGGCTAAATACCTTGTCAGCTGTTCAAGTCAGCAGTTTCCCAAAATTGCACACGAATTTCCATGAGAGGAGAACAGTCTTAGTGATACTGCTTCACCTGAACTTTTCTCCTTTTTAATATCTTTTAATGTTATTACGGCACTTCGGCATTTTTAAGGTGTCCAGATATCACTCAAAAATGCAACTTTTGAGATTCAAAATTAAATCTAGTTTTGAGAAATGGTGAAAATTTGGGTTCTTACGGTGCTTTTCTTGAGTTTCCCCTATACTCCGTAATGCATTTTTCTAATCTCTATAGCCATGAAAGTCAGAAATTGAGAGAAAACATGCTGGGACTTCATGCAGAGAGCAGAACATTTTGAAGATCCAGCTCAGGTATGTCAATGAGCGGGTCTTGAAGTTTAGCAGCAGCTCAAACAGGTCAGTGGTGTGCTATACCCCCTTTGCATCACCCCTAGCTTGCCTGTATTGTCAATGGGTGTTTAAATGTCTATATGCTTTCCTTAGTCAAAAGGCTCTTGCAGACCATGCTGATTCATTATTTCACAAATCTCTCTATAGTTAGAAGCATTTGCTGTTTTCTTTTATGTTTTAATGATTTGAAAACCCCAATTCCAAAATACTCAGTGGCACAAAGACTGGGGAAAAAACAACAAAAGCAGCATTTAGGGCAGCATGAGCCTCATTTAAATTCTTCAAAATTCTGCTTTTCTGCTTACCTCTGTCCTGCTGTTCACTGAAAAGCAGGCCTTGGCTCAAATTTTAAGGAATTATGCTTGATATCTGGGAGATTCTGCATTTGTCATTTGTCATCTTCCCATGTTGTTTTTGGAAGGTCAAGAGTAATAAAAGAATGTTACATATAGATTCCCTGGTGGTGCAAAAATGATGTTTGAGCCAAGAGCATTAGAATAACAACTGTGCCCCATGCCAGTAGCACTTTGGAAGTCAGTTGGGATTTATTTTGTAAGCAATAAAGTTGTATGCTAGCTAGAATCATTTAAACACAAGGAAATTTCTACATGAATCAACCCATGAAACACCATAACCCACCTAGTTTTTCAAGCGCCCCTTTTGCCCTTGTGAACAGTGTTACAGCAACGCCTGTACAATATTCTCACTGACCTTATGCTTTGGCTTGTTACCTAGAAAAATGACAAAAGCCATGCTATTTTGTAGGAAAATATCTGCAGAAATCTTAAGGACTATTTCAGGTTGAAATCTTAAGCTTATTTAAGGTTTACGTTAAGCAGAATGAAACTTTTTTCTTAAAAAAACTCCAGCCCCTGATTAAATAAGTCCAAGAAGACGATACCGTATTTTGTTGAGGTAGAACTTCTCCAGCTTCATCCTTGATTGTCTTCTTGCCTGTTCTCAGATCTACACTGAAGCTAGAGGCACGCACACTCTTTCTCTAGGTACTTCCAAGAAGTTTGAGGACATGAGCAGGGATGCATTTGCCCTAGCATGCAATAATGGAGAAGGAAATGAGTAACAAAGTCTAGCTGCAAAAGTTAACTTCCCCAAGATAAAATACCTCATCTATCACCTACTGTGATACACAGTGATATCACGGTAGGTGAAAGCTAGACCCAGTCAGCCTTGTACATTTTCAGCTGCATGGTGCTCAGCGAAGCCACCAGGACAGAAAGGCAAAGAAAAAGTTGTACAAGTGCTGATGGTGGAATTTATGGTTCCCAACTCAAATGAGATCTTCTCGAATGAGCATCACAACACACTGATACCAGACCTGCTTCCACAGCCCGATTCCACAGGTTCTCCCCAAAGGTCTATTTGGGCCATGCTGGGTAAGACTCAGTTCAAAGCACTTGGCTCCTCAGCCTTTATACTGCCACTTGACAAGGAGGTGACCCTTACCTGGTGGGTGCATTTTTGCCAGTGACTCTGGAAGCTGAGCTCAGAGAGCATGCAGGCAGCTTTGTTTTGTGCAAGATGCCTCCGAGGTACACGAGGAGGCAACCTGAGCTGAAGCCTGTAGCTCCGAGCAGGGTCTGTACCCCACGTTCCCCAGGAAAATGCCAACAGGCATGGAGATGTAGGGCTTTCCTCAGGGATTTTCAGGGACATACCTCCATCCGTTCTCCAGAGGGGAAAGGTGCCAGCATCTTTCTTTCAGAAACTGAGCAGCAAACAAGTCTTTTTCAGCTGGAGGTGGAGAGTCACAAGCAGTGCAGTGTTCCCATTAGTGCTGGGTGAGCTACTGCCCTCAGGAGCGGGGAGACCCTGGTTTAATATTCCCTTCTCCACCACAGACTCGAGCCCACATGTTCTCTTCTGTTGTCCCTTGCAGGCAAGTTTCTCCACTGAAAAACAAGAAAAAGAAAACAGGGTCAGCGTGAGAAATAAGGAAGGGGAAATTACTTCTTTACCTAGGGATGGGGAGATAGTATACCAAGATTGTTTTTACTAATATAAAACTAATAGCAAAAACAGAGCAGGGAAAAAGAACCAGAGGCCCCCAGAGATCAGCCTCTAGCAGGCTGAGGAATGACATTCCCCTTGTTTTTCTTCCCAACCAAATCCAGCTGGACGATGTTGTGGTGTGAGTAACTGTGTTGTTTGTTTCCATGCAGTGTTTCTCACACGTCTAGGTCTATAGGGTGCCCATATTCATAAGCATTCAAATGAGCTAAAAATAAAAGAAGGAAAAATTGCTGTAGGAAAGTGCCAGTTACCCACAGGCAATGACTGGATACCACTAAATCAAACTCATGTCACACTGTAACTAGGCTACATTTCACTTTGACAGGCAGCCTTTTAATTTTTCACTTTAGGTTTTTGCCTTTCTTTTTTTAAAGGAAAAAAAAAAAAAAAAGATGTCAGATGTTTTTTTACTGGTAACAACGGAAAAACTCACAAAGCTCTGTGAAGCCTCCCAAGAGCTATCTTCATGTAGCAGGTTACATCAGAAAGCTCTGATTTGGATTCTTGTATGATTAAACACTACACTGTATAAACAAAGCAACACAACTCCATTAAAAAATATTAATAATGAAATTCCATTATGGAAATTAATTCACATAGGCTGAAAAATCAGATTTTTGTTACCATTTAACAAGGATTTGAAAAGGCAATTTTTTTTCTTCGTTCAACAATATAAAAGATCACATTTTCCTTCTTGCAAACATAATTTTGAAAACATAATTTTGAAAACAATGCTATAGAAATCACTGCCTCATCCAGGATAGAGAAACACACTGCATCCAGGGGAAGAAATACCATCCATGTAGCAAAGAGAAATGTGTTTAGTCAAAGGTCAAATCAAAAGGAATGGGGTGTAAAGATTTCCCACTCGCCAGCAAGAAGTTTAATTATTCCATGCCACTGCTCATCTCATCAAAGGTAACGAGCTCCATGACAGTTAGGTGGCAAGCAAAAGGAGATTCTTTCTTCCAAACAGAAAATTCAAATAGGATTAAAAAAAAAAAAAGCAAATAATGCAGGGAAAATGTAATGGTCTAATATCTCGAAATTTAATAATAAAAGTTATTTACTATTTCCTTGTGCGGATCAAGTTATTTCAGACTAAAAATATTAGCAAAATTATTCTCAAATCATAAACTTGCCAAAAATCCTGCATCAGAAACTAAACTGTAAATTCACATTCTCTAGGTTGATGCAAGTTGGGATGTGACTGGATGTGAATCTAAGTCTGTGAGCACGAGACCATGCCTAAGTTCTGCCATTCAGATATAGCCCGGGTCTGTACCAGTCTTCTGTGAATAACAACCACACAGAAGATGGGGAAAAGGTGGTTTCAGGTGAAGTGAACTGTGAAGTGTGAAATAAGCTTTACAAAAAGCAATGCCTGCTTTGAGAGAGTTTATTTTCAGAATTAGTTTCAACATGCACAGGCATACACGCCTAAGTGTCTGTTTATACAGATGTTTATCCTGCTGTATTCCAACTTTGGCGATTTAATTGTGATGTCAAAATCAGGAGGCTGGGCTCTCAGCAGGGAGAAAAGGGTTCCTCTGAAAAGCAATTCAGAAGACGAGTCTAACCTGGGTGGTTTCTATTCCTCTTTACAAAAGACCCTCTCTCTGTTAATTAAGAAAGGGAGCTTTGCTCACAAATGAGTGAAAATACCTTCTTACATGCTCATTTACTGAATCACAGTATTCATTATTGCCAAGTCACCAGGCACTATCTAGCCCAATACCTTAGATTTTTTTTTATATATATACACAGATATATAACTACAATAGAATTTGAAAAGAAGATATGCACAAAGAGAATTCTGTACTGCAGACTGCAGCTGAAAACACAACCATGAAATGGCTTCTGTGTTCTTCAGTTCTGCCATTCTTCTCAACAGGACTTCCTAAGTATTTGGGAATGTATTACCTTCTTGCCTTTATATTAAAGAGTAACATGCCCAGATACCACTTCGCAGAGAATACTGTTTCCGTGACTTTGATTTTTGGTAGGATCTACTTTTTTAGTGGAACTTTACCACCCTAATTTAGAAATATGACCTTGACGAAATATTTAGAAAGGAGCAAAAGAAATAGTGTTTTCAAATGGAAGAGGTTCTTTTGAAATGGAAACCAATGCAGAATAGGTTGCTCTGAGAAAATGGAGGCAGTGGTACAAAGGCCTACACACAGAAGAACTTATAGTATAAGTAGAGATTTTTTAAGCCCTTTACAGCTCCTACAGGATTGCACCTCTTAAGAAAGATTAGAAATCCAGATGCATTTTTTTTTCTGATGGGGGAAAAAAAAAATGTCAGGTACTGGGATGCAATATAAAAGTACTGGAAACAACTGGTCAGTACTCTTTTTTTCCCCTACCTTCTCAAAAGAGAATGGTATCAAAGAATACATTCTAACTTCCCCCCACCCAAATTAATTTCCACAAATCTGTGATATATAAGTCAAGATAACGTCATAATTGTGAGGCAAACAAACATTCTGTTTTCATAAGGGAAAATTCTAATAGCTTGAGACTTTTTAATTAGAGCATTGAATCTCTGCTGCAATAACAAGCTCCTTCTACCAGTGATTTAATCACTATCCAGGACTTTCCTGCATTGGTTAAATCAAAGGTAAAGGAAATTTCTAACTTCCCCCCACCCAAATTAATTTCCACATATCTGTGATATATGAGACAAGTCAAGATAACGTCATAATTGTGAGGCAAACAAACATTCTGTTTTCATAAGGGAAAATTCTAATAGCTTGAGACTTTTTAATTAGAGCATTGAATCTCTGCTGCAATAACAAGCTCCTTCTACCAGTGATTTAATCACTATCCAGGACTTTCCTGCATTGGTTAAATCAAAGGTAAAGGAAATTTCAGGATTATTATTGAAATTTGATCTCTTTAGGGAAAGCAATAATGAATTCTTTTTCCCTATTTTATAGAATAAGTTTTACAGGTCAGGATTATTATTGAAATTTGATCTCTTTAAGGAAAGCAATAGTGAATTCTTTTTCCCTCTTTTATAGAATAAGTTTTATAGGTAATTAAATTGAAGTGTGATTTTAGATATATTTACGTTACAGTTTAAATTGAAGTGTGATTTTAGATATATTTATGTTAGAGTGCTGCTGGCTGCTGCTGTTGCATACGCTGCAACTGCTGTAGAGGGACAAGAGCTGCAGCCTCTGTGCCTACAGAAGCACTGCAGTAGTAATGATAAATGGGACATTTTCTCTCACCCAGGGCACAGAATGTATCAGTGCCTGCTCTGCACAGAACATTATACTCAGGTGTTTCCGATTTCATTCCTACCAAATCCAGATCTATCTAACAAAGATAAAAAAATAGCATTATTATTTATTTACTTGATCCATTAGCCCATGGCTGGTTAACCAGCCAGAAACCCACAAAATGCTGGCCCGTCTCCCCAGCATTTGCTTGATCAGCATTGCAGACTATGAGGCAGCATAACCTTTTTCTCCTATCTCTGCATAAGGAACCTGAAGCACATTCTAATGAAGCAAAGCAAATCCTTCAACAACATCCAAACCCCTGTTTTAAATTGCTGAAATTATTGTCATCTATTAGAATTATTTCTGAGAAGCTAGGAAAAGAGGGAAGATAGGGAGATCCTATTTTACTTCCTCCAGGTTTTTCTTCCAAGAGAGCTTAGTATGAAGACAGTGACTCGGTATGGAGTGAAGTAGGTTTTCATGAGAACTGTGTGTGATGAGGATACACTGAAACATTTGGCTATAGACACTTCAAGATTGTATACAAGAATTCCAGAAACATGGATCTGACTTGACATGAGGAAGCAAAGGAAAAACAGCTTGAATTCACACCTAAAGAAAAAAGTAGGCTTCGTATGTGCATGTTTGCTTTTCCATATTGCAAGATGCAGTACTGGCAATGCATTACACTGTGCAGGAAAGCTGAGGAGGAGCCTATATCCTAGAGATAAAAAATTTCCAAACAGTCACGCTCAAAGCACTCAAAAAAAAAATCCAACACAAAAAACCCCAAAATGGAACAAACAAAAACCCTGAGCCCCACACTCCAGGACAGCATTAAAGCTACAGCCCGGTAACGCAGCTTTACTTTACAGTAGCTCTGCTGCTCACTGCTTGCTGTGGTATCATCACAGTTCTTTTTTTCCTTAACTGAAAATGAAGCAGCCTATTTTTATCTCAGGGGATCTGAAGGTAAAACGTAAGTCATTGTTCTGGTATTTCTCATTTCCCACCTTCATCGTCCTGAACCTCTGGCCAGCAGCAATTTAACTGGACCGAGATGGAAGAGTCTCTTGAATGTTATCTTTCATCATGTTTCATGAAAGTAGGTACTCAAGAAGAAAAGAATGCTATTTGTGCACCTATTGAGCAACAGCCTTTTTTAGACACTGGAGAAATTACAGGCTAACTCCCCCTGGGGACAGTAATCCACAAAAAAAAACTGTGCTCAAGGATCTCCACATTATTATTATTAATGAGTTTGATAATAATTGCTGGTCACAGATCAAAGCCGTACTCTGCTGGGTTTTGTACACAGATAATCTCTGCTTCACACCTTTCGTAAAACACAAATCAACAGATGGTGAGAGGAAGAGACAGCCAAGATCAGTAAGGTAGGCAGTTCCGTGGCAGGTGGCCTGCTATCTGTGCTATTTCATGCATCACCACAAAAGAAAATTTTCAAGAGGGACAAAACCATTTTATTCTCCTTTGTGGGTGGAAAAAGCACAATCGCTTTGTGTAGCGAAGTAGAGCTGAAGAGACAGAACATTGATATACTCCCTTTTGTCTGAAACCTCACCAAGCCAGCCACCACAAAGAGGGAACACCTAGGCACCTATGGCTTTAT